AAGGTGCCGCAAGGACTCCGGCCCCTTCCGCGGGCGGCGGGGGTGGGGGAGGCCGGGTGGTGGGGGACCGGCTAGAGAGATCGGTCTTCCCCCCCCCCCCGCCCCCGCCTCCATCCCTATCCGCCCCCCCCAGCTATCTCCCTCCCCCCCCAGCTATCTACCCCCCTCCGCCCCCGCCACCCCCTCCATTCCCATCCGCCCCACTCTAGCTACCTCCCTCCCCCCCAGCTATCTACCCCCCTCCGCCCCCGCCACCCCCTCTAGCTATCCCCCTCCATCTAATCTATCTATCCATCCCCCATCCGCCCCCTTCCCCCTCCAGCTATCTCCCTCCCCATCTATCCATCCACCCCCCTCCAGCTATCTCCCTCCCCCCCAGCTATTTACCCCCTCCGCCCCCCATCCACCCCCTCTAGCTATCTACCCCCCTCCGCCCCCGCCACCCCCTCTAGCTATCTCCCTCCCCCATCTATCCATCCCCCCTCCGCCCCCTTCCCCCTCCATCCCCCCCCAGCTATCGACCCCCCTCCGCCCCCCCATCCCCATCCACCCCCTCTAGCTATCTACCCCCCTCCGCCCCCGCCACCCCCTCCATCCCCATTCACCCCCCCAGCTACCCCCCTCCACCCCCTCTAGCTATCCTCCTCCATCTAATCTATGTATCCCCCCTTCCGCCCTCCATCCCCATCCGCCCCCCAGCTATCTACCCCCATTCGCCCCCTCCACCCCCTCTAGCTATCCCCCTCCATCTAATCTATCTATCCATCCCCCATCGGCCCCCTTCCCCCTCCATCCCCATCCACCCCCTCTCGCTATTTCCCTCCCCCCGGCTCTAGCTATCCATCTCTATCTATCCCTCTCCATCTAATCTATCTATCTATCCCTATACACCCCCCCTTTCTTCCTCCCACTCCCCCTTCCCCCCCCCCCCCGTGGCTCACACGGGGTCTGGAAGTTGTTACTGGCTGGGACGCCCCCCTGCCCCCCCCTTCAGGAAATTCCAGCTTGGGGCGGGGCGCGGGGGGGCACCCCCTGGTGTGGGATTCCCACCATTTCCTCCCACCTCCCCATCCTTCCCGTTCCTTCCTTCACACAACCTTTGCCCTGGAAAGGGGGGCGGTAATTCCCCCCGAACTTCTCACTTAAAAAAAACCAGCCTCGAGCCTCTGTCTCTTTAAGAAGAGTTGGAGAAGGGGGCGGGGCCTGGGAGAGGCCCCGCCCCTTTAACCCTTGACAGGAGAGAGGTTTTTTTTCTGAGCCAGGCGCCGACTTTCTCGCCCCTTGCGCTGCGGGACCCCAGCGGAGCGGAGCGGAGGGGGCCGCCCTGCCGGGCCAGCGCCCCACTGCGGATGCACGTTGCTGCTCGAGGTGGGGGGCAGTTGGGGTGGGGGAGCTGCCAAGGGGCTGACGGTAAGGGCAGCTGCGGTGTGGGCTCAGGATTGGGGGGAGCTGGAGGTCTGAGAGTGAGGGATCTGGGGTGGAGAGAGCTGGGGGGTCTGAGCGTGGGGAATCTGGGGTGGGGGACTGCTGGGGGGCTGAGGGTGGGGAGAACTGGGGGTCTGAGCTTGGGGGATCTGGGCTGGGGGGCTGCTGGGGGGCTGAGGGTGGGGAGAACTGGGGGTCTGAGTGTGGGGGATCTGGGCTGGGGGGCTGAGGGTGGGGAGAGCTGGGGGTCTGAGCGTGGGGGATCTGGGGTGGGGGGCTGCTGGGGGGCTGAGGGTGGGGAGAGCTGGGGGTCTGAGCATGGGGGATCTGGGGTGGGGACAGTTGGAGGGATCTGTGAAGTGAGGGGAAGGAGGGAGGCAACTGGGGAAGGATGGGGTTGGGGGCAGCTGGGAAGATCTGGGGATGGTGGTAGGAGGGGCAGCTGGGGGGGATCTAGTGAATGGGGGACAGCAGAGAGGGATCTGCGGGTGGGGGCAGGATTGGGGAAGCAGCTGGGGGTCTGAGGGTAGGGGGGATTGGCAGCTGGGGGCATCCTAGCTGCGGGGGCGGGAGTGGGGGATCTGAGAGGTGGGAGGCAGGAGTGGGGGATCTGGGGGGTGGGGCACAGCTGGGGGGAAGGGGAAAGATTCCTTCAGCTCACTGGGGCAGGAGGTGAAAACTTGGGTGGAAAGAGAGAGGAGACATTGGGGAAGATTTGGTGGGCGGGGGGAGGGCGCACTGGGGACACACACACGCATGTGTGGGGTGAGGGCACACATGTGTGGGGTGGGGGAAGGGATGCAGGAGCCCCATCCCAGACTCAGCTGCCCCGGCCCTGCCATGGAGGGCACACATGTGTGGGGTGGGGGAAGGGATGCAGGAGCCCCATCCCAGACTCAGCTGCCCCGGCCCTGCCATGGTCTAGGCGGGGCCCCTGTTGGGTCCCCACCCTGCCCTGGGTCACACGGTCCCGGGCATGTTCTAAGCATGTTCGAAACCTGCCCATCTCGCCGTGAGATGCCAGGCAGGCGCCCGCTGTTGTCACGCAGGTGTGGGCGGGAGCTGGTTTATTATTTGATAACAGTAGCCCAGTCATGCGGGTATTAGCTGCCGGCTTTCTGGTGGTCTGGCCCTGTCATTTATGGGCTGCTTTCGGATTTGCTTTCCTCCTTCGCCAGGTCCTTTCCTTTCTTCTCTCGCTATTCATTTGCGATAGCTTTTCGTGGCCACAGAATATGGTCGCTCTTTTGCTATATACTTCATTTGCGAACTTGCTGTATGATGTGTTTGCTATGCTGTAATCCAGCCAATGCGTCCGAGGAAGTGAGCTGGAGCTTGGGGAAAGCTGATGCTCAAATAAATTGGTTGGGCTCTAAGGTGCCACAAGTCCCCTGTTCTTTTTGCGGATACAGACTAACACGGCGGCTCCTCTGAAACCAATCTAGCCAATGAGTCTTAGAGCCAAGAAATCAGACCGCAAGCTAGCCCATACCTAGCGAATCGGCTAGTCGATTATACAGCAAAACCGTCGTTCAGCAAATATCGAGCGATCTAGGAAATAAGGAACATGTTAATTATTTGTTATGATTATTAACGTATTATTATTAGCAAAAGAGCAACGAAGTAACAGATTCTGTCGCAAACTGGCAAATGAGTTGTTTGTTTGCTGCTTTGCTGTATAACTTATTTATTTGCTCCATGAGCTATTTGCTAAGTGGCTGCTTTCCTATATAACTTTCCTGCTAATTTCCTGTTTACGTGCTAGCTTGCCATTGTTGGCTTTGCCGTGAAACTTCTGACTTCTTTCCTAGTTTGCTTTATAACTTACTTGCCATCAGACTCGTTTGCCGTTTGGCTGTGCGAGTGATTTGTGATTTTACTGTTTTTTCGGCTGGCTTTGGTCTGGTTTTAGGATGATTCCTCGTGTCCCAGTTCCGCTTAGCGACCCAAACCAAGACTCCCGTCGCACCGGGCCGCTGCTCAGACCCTGACCACAAGCGGGGGCCTTCCTTGTGCTGGGGGCGTCATAGGCCCCTGCCCGTCATGCAGCGGGCATGATGTGCTTACAATTAAGCTAGGCAGCAATTTGCTTTGCTTTATCTGAGCAACCTTGATTCTGTCCCTTGACTGGTTACTGACGCTGTAACTGGGTCTCCGAGTTAATTTGATCCCGACTCTTTTATTTTATCCCTTGGAGCGGGCAGCTGGTGACGGTGTTTCTTCGCCAGCCGCTGGCGGCGTTAACCCTCGAGGAACTTCACATGCGCCCGCTGCCGCGGCTGACTCTGCTCCGTCCAGCCCTCCCCTGGGCCTGTGCCAACTGCCCTGTGCCTTCCCCATTCCCGTCCTGGGGACTTCTGTCAGTTTCTGCATTTCCTGGTCCTTGTGGAGCGCGGTCAAACATTATCTATCTATTTATCTATCCATCCCCATCAACCCCCCTCTGTCTATCCATTCCTGTCCACCCCCTCTATCTATCCATCTATCTATCCATCCATCTATCCATCCCCATCAACCCCCTCTATCTATCCATTCATCCATCTATCTATCCTCATCAACCCCCTCTATCTATCCACATATTTTTAAATAAGTGCCGTAACTTAAAGTCGTTTTCAGATCAGTCGGGAATAATTACTTTTAAATTATCTAAATCTATTTCCTCCATCCCCACACATACAACCCCTATCCATCCATCCACCCCCCGTCCATCCCCATCCACACCCCTCTATCTCTCCATACACCCCCCCCCCGCAGCTGTCTATCCCCCTACACACTGCTCCCTCCCTCCCTCCCCTGATCCATCCATCCCGCCCCGCTAGGAACCGCTCGCTCTGCCATCCCCGTATTATAAAATAGATCCCACCGCTTGCCTTCCCCTCCGCACCCCGCTGGGCGCGGCTTCGTTTTTCAATAGACCCCACCGTCAAGTTCTGTGCCTAGCCCCCTAGCTGCTCGCCGGCCCTGTCTGCAAACAGAGCCGGCCTGAGCCGATCGGCACTCGCACCTCCTGGAAGTTCAGGAATGCAATGAACTTTATAAATTGGCCTGTGCAGGTTTCTCTCCCCCCCCCCCCCCCCCCCGTCCCATGGGATACTATTTGCTTTGACTTCTGGATCTCGACTTTCCCGGCAAAGCCCGCGGCCTGGGGTCTGAAGCGGAGGCGGGCGCTGTGTGTACATTTGGACGAGCGGCGTGGGTAGGTTTTCCTCCCCCAGCTTATTTATGCCTCTCGTTTTTGGAGCCAGGTGAATAAAGATCCAGCCGCCACCGCCCCAGAGGGAGGAGAGAAACCCCGAGTGGACGAGAAAAAAGGGCGAAGGACGCCGGGGAGCAAATGAAAGACCGCCACTCGCCGGCCACCCCCGAGAGTTTTGGCGCGTTTGCATCGGGGTGCGGAGAAATGACCGGATAGAGAGCGAAACCCCGGACCCACGCGGGCTTGGGTGGCGGTGGAATTGGCCTCGGGAAAGCGAGCTCCATTTCTGGATTACAAAACAGGAAGACGGAGACTCTGGCTTGCTCTGTGCGTGACTCATTGATCTCCGGACTTGGGATTCGTACAGGGTGAGTAAAGGAATTTTTTTTCCGGGTTCTTTTCGGCGGCCTCAGAGGGGATCCGGCTCCATGACGGCGGAGGGGATAGCGGATGCTTTGAGATCACCGAGCCAGTGGGTCGAGGTAAAGGAAGAGCCGCCGTGCGGGAAATTTGGGCGTGTGGGGTTGGGGCAAACGGGAGGCAGGATTCCTGGGTTCTGTGTCAGGGAGGGGAGTGGAAGCTGGTGGTTAGAGCACGTGAGGGAAGACTGGGAGCCAGGACTCCTGGGTTCTCTCCCTGGTTCTGGGAGGGGAGTGGGGTCTAGTGGTTAGAGCAGGGGGGGCAGGGAGCCAGGACACCTGGGTTCTATCCCTGGCTTTGGGGCAGGGGGTATAGTGGATTAGAGCAGGGCGGCTGGGAGCTAGAACTCCTGGGTTCCTTGGCTCTGGGAGGGGAGTGGGGTCTAGTGGGTTAGAGCAGTGGGGTCGGGGAGCCAGGACTCCTGGGTTCTTTCCCTGGATCTGGGAGGGGAGTGGGGTCTAGCAGGTTAGAGCTGGGGTGGGGTACTGGGAGCCAGGATGCCTGGGTTCTCTCCCTGGCTCGGGGAGGGGGATCCAATGGGTTAGAGCAGGAGGGACTGGGAGCCAGGGTTCTCTCCACAGCCCTGGACTGGGAGTGGGTTCTGTGGATGTGCTATAATCCTATATGTCTTGCCCAACCCCAGGGAGGGCTCATCCCTCCAATCTGCAGGGGGTTGGATAAGATTAGAGGCAGGCCAGGAGACCTGACCATTGTTTGGATTTTAAGGCCAGGGTGGGGGTGGGAGCTTTAAGCAAACAGCCCTCGCTAGCAGGGGCTCCAACCCTGAGACAAGGTGCTACTGGTACCAGCCCAAAACAAGGAGAAGGGGGCCTTACACCTCTTGGTCCCGGACAGAGTCATTGGGAGACTGGGGTAAAACCCAGGAGTCCTGGCTCCCACCCCACCCCCGCCACTCTGACCACTAGACCCCACTCCCCTCCCAGAGCCAGGGATAGAACCCAGGAGTCCTGGCTCCCAGCCCCTGCCTTCATGTCAGTAGACCACACTCCATCCGATAGACTTTCTCTGATGGAAACATGAAAATCCCATGGGAGAAGCTATAATCTTATTGCTAAGGGGCCAGATGGTGGGTGATTCAGAACTCCTGGGTCCCATCCCCAGCTCTGGGAGGGGAGTGGGGTCTAGTGGTTGGAGCGGGGGCAGGGAGCTGGGAGCCAGGACTCCTGGGTTCCATCCCTGGCTGTGGGAGGGGAGTGGGGTCTAGTGGTCAGAGTGGCAGGGGCGGGCTGGGAGCTAGGACACCTGGGTTCTATTCTAGTTGGCCTCTCCTGGTTCTCTTCCTTCCTCTCTAATTGCTCCTTCAGTGTTTCCTTTGGAGGATCCTCCCACTGGCCCCCTCCAGTTTTTGGGGGCAGGTTCCCCAAGACTCCGTCCTCGGTCGCCTCTCATCTCCCTCATCTCTAGGCCAGCTCATCCACAGCCCAGTGGCCTCTTCTGCACTCTCCTAGATCCCACGGCCAGACAGGGCCCGTTGCGAGCGGCTCGCAGAGTGCCGGGAGAACCCAGCCCATGGCGCTGCCCTGAATTCAGTCCTGGCTGATCCAGGTCAGGTCTTTGAGAGGCTGGAGGAGAATCCACCGCGTCTCTTGGTTAATTATCCCGACAGTTAAGTCCCCTCAGCGTGGAAAAACTTCTGCCGTGTTCCCAGGCTGGGTTTGTCTCGCTTCAGCTTCCAGGCATGGGGTCGGGTCTGATCTCCCTCTGCTCCACCAAGGAGCCCGTTAGTAAATATTCGTCCCCCACGTCGGTACCGATAGCCCGGGATCAAGTCCCCCCTGGACCTTCTCTCTGCTCAGCTAAACTGGTGGAGCTTCTGGCGTCTCTCACGCCCAGGCAGGTTTTGTAACCCTCCAATCGTCTGCGTGACTCTTCTCTGACCCGTCTCCAATTGATTGACGTCCTCCTTGAATTGGGGGCCCCGCAACGGGTCCCGACAGCGTCGCCCCGGGGCCAGATCCAGAGGTGAAATCCCCTCTCTGCTCGCACTCGAGGTGCCCCTGGGGACACAGCCCGGGATCCCATTAGCCCCTTCGGTGTCGGGTCTCCCGCAGAGCTGTCTCCGTCCGTCCGTCCGTCCCCGCCTCGTCTCCTCGTGGATGTCCAGCCGTCAGCTCCTGCTGAGTTCCTAATCTTCCCCCCACCTCCCCCAGTCCACCACCCTTCCTCCTCTCTGTGGCTGCAACCATGACCCGTCTGGCCTGGCCCGTAACGTGGGTGTCGCTCGGGCCTCTCTCTCAGTCTGCGGGCCGAAACCTCGCCGAGCTGTTTGGCCCGCGTCCTGAGGCCTGGCCCGGGCGGCTAGCGGCCCGAGGGCTAAGCAGAACCAACGGCTGGGAGTTGAAGCTCAACAATTCCCGATGGGAAACGAGGGGCCGATTTTTTTTTTTTTTTTTTAAGGGGGAGGAAAATGACCCATTGGGGCAACTTCCCAAGGGTTCGGCTCTACAGTGAACAAGCATCCGCTCAGGGCCCTTCGATGTGTGACACAAGAGGTCAGAGCAGATGATCGCAGAGAGAACCCAGGAGTCCTGGTTCCCAGCCTCCCCTTCTAACCCACCAGACCCACTTCCCCTCCCAGAGCTGGGGCTAGAACCCAGGAGTCCTGGCTCCCTGCCCCCCCCGCTCTAACCATTAGAGCGGGGTGGGCAAACTTTTTGGCCCAAGGGCCACATCTGGGTATAGCAATTGTATGGTGGGCCATGAATGCTCACGACATTGGGGTTGGGGTGTGGGAGGGGGTGAGGGCTCCAGGGTAGGGCCAGAAATGCAGAGTTCAGGGTGCGGGAGGGGGCTCTGCGCTGAGGCGGAGGGCAGGGGAGGGCTCCAGCTGGGGGGTGCAGGCTCTGGGGTGGGGCTGGGGACGAGGGGTTTTGGGTGCAGCAGGGCGCTCCGGGCTGGGACAGAGGGCTTCAGAGGGCAGGAGGGGGATCAGGGCTGGGGCAGGGGTTTGGGGCACGGGAGGGTGGCTCAGGGATGCAGGCTCCAGGCGGTGCTTATCTCAAGTGGCTCCTGGAAGCTGTGGCATGTCCCCCCTTTGGCTCTTACGTGGAGGCGTGGCCAGGTGGTCTGCACGCTGCCCTGGCCGCAGGCTCTGCCCCTGCAGCTCCCATTGGCCGTGGTTTCCGGCGAATGGGAGCTGCAGGGGCGGCGCTTAGGGTGGGGGCATCAGGCAGAGTGGAGCCCCCTGGCTGCCCCTAAGCATAGGAGCCGGAGGAGGGACGTGCCGCAGCTTCCAGGAGCCGCTAGGAGCAGCCCCCAACCCCGCTCCCCAGCAGGAGCTCGAGGGCTGGATTAAAACGACTGGCGGGCCAGATCTAAACCGTCGTTTGTCCACCCCTGCCTTAGACCCACGGGCTGGACATCTCTAGGCCAAGGCCCTTCTCATCCATCCGCACACAAACTCTCCGCCTCTCGCACCCCGATTCTTGCATCTTCCTTCGCCCGGGCTGTGCCTCGCGCCAGCCGGGACCCGTTCCAGCAGCGTTCCCCGAGCCTGTTGCTTTGGTCCCATCGTCCCCTCTCTGCGTCCCGCTGCTGGCTTCCCCTTCTCCATGGTGTCCGCCCACCTGATCCTCTCCCCATCCCTCTCTGAGGGGCCTGGGGTCCCTGTTGCTGTTGCCTGCTGGGTAATGGGCAAGCTGCCCCTGGGTGCTCCCCGGCTGCCCCACACCCTGGGGAGATGCTCCCCGTAAACACCCCTGGAGCCGCAGCTGTCAGGTCTCTCCTGGGTCCTGGCGCTGAGCGCCCTGCCCGTCACACTGGCTGATGGGGCCTCGCCATGTGCACCCACCCCCGTTCTTCTGTCCGTCCAGCGCCTCCTTGGGGCAGGGATGGGCTCTTTGTTCTGGGTCTGTGCAGTGCCCGGCGCCCAGGAGGCTACCGTAATACACCTAAAAGCAGTTAAATGTACAGCACCTGGCGCCCCAGGGGCTACCGTAATACACCTAATCGCAATAAAATGTACAGCATCTGGTGCTTGGGGGCTACCGTAATGCACCTAATAGCAATGAAATGTACAGCACCTGGCGCCTGGGGGGTCTGGGGCACAGTTGGGGCACCCAGGGGCTACTGTAATGCACCTAATAGCAATGAAATTATGGTAGCCCCAAGGCACTGCCCCCTCTCGCATAGCTGGTGGGGCGAGAGGGGGGCAGTGCCTTGGGGCTACCACGATACCCCTAATAGCAATAAAAGGTACAGGGCCTGGCACCGTGGGGCCATGCCGGGGGGGGGCTCTGGTGCGACTATCATTCGCCTAATGAACAACACACGGCACCTTGCACAATGAGGTCACGGTTGAGAGCTGGGGCTCCCAGGCGCTACCGTAATACACCTAGTAACGTTCCATACCCAGTACTGCGGGGGCCAGGCTCATGACTGGGCTGCTAGGCACTGTCGTGGGGGGGGGGAATGGGGGGCATTGAAGGGAATCTCTGAGCTAGAGGTGGCTCTGGGAGGGGAGCGGTGGGCGGGGGCTGGGGGGGGCAGCTGGGAGCCAGGACTCCTGGGTTCACTCCCTTGCTCTTGGAGGGGTCTGGGGTTAGAGTGGAGGAGGGGGGCTGGGAGCCAGGACTCCTGGGTTCTGTCCCGTGCCTCCCAGCCCTGCTGACTCGGCTCCCAGGGACTGGTTGTACCTCTTGTTCCCGCTTGTTGGGGATGGGGCTGGACCCAAACCTGCCCTGCCCCCGCCAGCAGAATCATTGTTCCCCAGAAGCCTGAATCGACCCTACCCATTAGATCCCCTCCCAGCTGCTGCCTGCTGGGATCCCACTGCCAGCATGACTCACCCACAGCCAGGGAGAGAACCCAGGAGTCCTGGCTCCCAACACACCCCACTCCCTGCTGTAACCAGTAGACCCCACTCCCCTTCCACAGCCAGGGAGAGAACCCAGGAGTCCTGGCTCCCAGCCCCCTCCTGCTCCAACCCACTAGACCCCACTCCCCTTCCACAGCCAGGGAGAGAACCCAGGTGTCCTGGCTCCCAGCCCCCTTGTTTGTTGTGGCACCGGGCTCAGCCTGGATCCGGGTCCCCTGGCAGCGGGGCGGAGCAGGAATCTGGTCAGACAGGTTCCCCACCCCACTCCTTTCCCCAGGGGAGCGGCTTGGGGGTGGGGTAGGGGGTGGTGGCTCATGGGAACCAGGTGGGGTGGGGGTTCCCTGCTCCTCGCCCCTCGCCCCCGCTCACTGTATCCCCATCCAGAAAGGCCCCTTCTAGCCCCTCTTTTCCCTAGTCACTGCCTCCTTCCCCCTTTTCCTTCTCTTCTCTCTCTCTCACTCACACCTTCATCTCTCTTTCCTTCCCCCCATTACACCCCCCCCCAGTCCCAGACAGATAGAGGGGTCTCCCTGTCCATTCATGGGGGTGGGGAACCCCAGCCCAGCTGCTCTGGATTCCAGCTGTTGTTCTGATAGAGGGGGCTGCTTTGTCCATCCAGTGCCCCCCCCTCTGTGCCACCCTGTACCCCTCCTTGTCCAGCCACTCCCCCCATCTGATCTGCCCCATCCCTGGCCCTCTCCTGCCACCCCCTACATCAGAGCAACCCGCAACCTGTCCAGCTGCCTCCCCCCAATCCCCTGCCCCCCCCAGCTGTCCCTGCCCACAGTTGGAACCCCCCATCGCCTGCTCGACCTGGGCTCAATGTGAGCTCCCCCTGCCAGCTCTGATCTGGAACAAAGCCAGGGTTCCCAGCTGGCTGGAGGGAGAACAGCCAGAGGAAACTGACTTCACTTCCCCCGGACAGGAAATATCTCCTCCCCCCACAGTCCCAGCTGTCCAGCCCTCGATCCCGGCCCTCTCAATCCCCACTGGCCTGGGCTAGAGCCACATCCTCCCTGCCATTCCTCCCAGGGCCGGGGAGAGAACCCAGGAGTCCTGGCTCCCAGCCTCCTTCTGCTCTAACCCACTAGGTCCCACTCCCCTCCCAGGGCCGGGGAGAGAACCCAGGAGTCCTGCCTTCCACCCCCTCTGAAATAATCCCATGTCATAGGTTGGGGGATATTTTGCCTGGGATCAACACCCTTAGTGGGAGACCCCTATTTATCCTAAGATATGGGGGTGCAGGAGAGAAACCCTTTTATTGTCACCCATTCCCAGCCCCCCTGAGACATCCAGTCCCTGCCCTGGGGCCGGATGGGAGCCAGCGCCCCCTAGAGGGGAATGGCCCCGTGCCCCATTTCTCACCCCCTTTGAGACAGCCAGTCCTGGATTGGAGCTGGTGCCCCCTAGAGGTGCGGGATCCTGTCTCCCTGACCCCCATGTCTCTTTCTCTGTGTCCCCCAGATGCCGATTCTGAAGCAGTCCCCCATCTCCCAGTCGAAGAAGAGGCCCCGCATCGGCCGGGACATGATCAGCGCCCCGCTGGGGGATTTCCGGCACACCATGCACGTCGGTCGGGGCGGGGACGCCTTCGGGGACACCTCCTTTCTCAGCAACCACGGGGGCCCCAAGGCCAACGGGCTGCCCCCCACCACCGAGGCCTTGGCACCGGCTCAGTCCCCCAGCCGTCTCTCGGGGTCCTCCGGCAGCCCGGCTGATTTGGGGGGTGGCCCTGGTGCCCCGGATTTGCACCCCGCTGGCTGGGAGGGGGAACTGCAACATGCCGAGTCCCTCTTCTCCTTCGAGTTGGATCTGGGGCCGTCCATTCTGGACGAGGTGTTGGGGGTCATGGACAAGTGCGGGGAGCAGCCCCGGAGCGAGGACGTAAGGGCAGAGAGGCCGGTGGGGGGACAGGGGCTGGGCCATGGGGCGGCTCCCCAGGTAGGGAGGAGGAAGAGGAGGAAGAAGAAAAGGAGGAGGAGGAAGGCTCCGGGCATGGATACACATTTGATGATGAGCTGGATGATGAGATTGGGCTATAGGAGAGGAGGCTCAGCTCCCTTCCATTCCCCCCATTCCCTCCACCCATCCATCTTTCTGGTCCCGCATCCCTTCATCCACGCCCCCCCCCTGCTTCAGCAATCCCCCTCTTCCCTTGCATGTGTTTTCTTGTTCTTTCCTTCTTCCTCACCCTTCTTTCATGCTCTTCCCCCTTCTCTTTCTTTTGCTCCTGCTCTCTTTCCCTTCCCCTCTTCCACCATTTCTTCCTTTCATTCTTTTCTTTTGTTCACTTATTCTTACCCCCCAGCTGGCCCCCTCCCCATGGCAGTACCGGTTCTCCGAGGATGGTGATCCTACCTTCAATGGAAAGCCCAATGTGTTTGATCCTAATTTTCACCTCCTTGTCTGTATGGATTTCTGGAATCCTAATCCACCCACCCATCTGTTGACTGGTCAACTCATCAATACGTCTATCTATTAATGAGCCCCTCAATCAATCCACCAACCCACCTGTCAATCCATTTGTCAGTCAACCTGTCAATTGATCAACAATCAATCTACCACCAAAAAACAATCGGCCCATTGGCTGACAAAATGAGCTATCAACAGTCCGCCCCCCGCGTCCCCCGGCCCAACTCATCAATTGGCCAATGGACCCATCAACCATCAATCCACCAATTGACCTGCCAACTAAGTTTTGTACCAACTAATTGACCCATGGAACAGTCAACAATCAACCAAGCAACCCTTCAACCCATCAGTGGACTAGTCACGAATCAATCTGCCAATTGACCAGTCAACCGACCAGTGGAACAGTCAACAATCAACCAAACGATTGGTCCGTGGAACGGTCAACAATCAACCAATCGAATAGCCAACCCATCAATGGAATAGTCAAGAATCGTGCCACCAATCAACCACTCAACCAACCAGTGGAACAATCAATTAACTAATTGACCAACCAATCAATCCACCAATCATCTCAGCAATTGACCAAATAACCCACCAGTCAGTCAGCGTCCCCCATCCTCTCCCTCATTCCCCTGTCCCAATGGGAGAAGGAACTTCTGAACTGAAAGGAGAGATACTTTGATGTTGGTTTTATGTGTATCCATCTCACACCCCATCTGGACTCCGGGCTCACAAGAGATGGACTTGGACAAGAGCAGGGGCACTGGGATGGATGGGGGGCATGGATCAGCCATGAGAAAAGTGATTTGGGTAACACTGTGAAAATGACCTGAGTTCCCTCCTCCCTCACCCCCTATTTCATGCCTGGGGCTCCCCACCACATGGAAGGAAAGTTACTTGAGACATTAATGGATTATATTCACCAGGGGTGGAGGGCCTAGGGTCTCATGGGTTAGAGCAGAGGGGGCTGGGAGCCAGGACTCCTGGGTTCTCTCCCTGGCTCTGGAGGAGGGGAGTGGGGTCTAGGGGTGAGGGCAGTGGGGGCTGGGAGCCAGAACTCCTGGGTTCTATCCCCAGCTCTGTCATTGATCCCCTGTGTGTCACCAGGCAAGTCCATGGGTCAGTCCGTGCCTCAGTTTCCCCCTCTAAAGTGGAGCTCATGGTGTTGCCCCAAGGAGGAGGTGTGGGGAGGGAGGGCTTGGGTTTCTCTGATGAAAGCTGCTACCTGGGTCCTAGGGATGAGCCGCCTCCCAGCCACTGAGTGGGGCGGGGGGGCAAGGCTGTAGGCTGAGCTGAGCTCCATCCGGAGCCACCCCCAGACTGCCACGGGGGGCAAGGCCATGGTCTGATCTTATGCTAATTCCTGGGTCTCCTCACCCCAGTCCTTCGGTGTGTCCGCTGCGAGCCCCAGGCCTGGCACGCTGCTTTTAACGCCTGTCCCCGGCCCTCCGTGTCTCTGCCCGCCCCCCACGTTAAATAGCAGGATGGATCTCTGCGTATATTTTTTTATATCTCTGTATATTGCCCCCCCCCCCCCGCCCGCGGTGTATAAATGTCCATTCCCCTCCCCCAGCCCTGCCTCGAGTTCACTCTCAAGCCAATCTTTCTGGGGAGAGAGAAATGTTTGTTTCTTACCATTAAAGCGCGACCTTCGGTCCGGAGCTGGACCTGTTTTTGAGCCTCTTTGCCCCTGGAATCCATTCCACAGCGCCCCCCACAGTCCTCCCCCCCAGCCCCACAATCTGGGTAACCTGCTGTCTGGAGCCAGGAGGGGACACAGTGGGGTCAGTCCTGGCCACACAGGGAGTGGGAAGAAAATATTCTCAGAGCTGTGGGGCGCACGGGTGAGAGCCAGGACTCCTGGGTTCCATCCGTGGCTCTGGGAGGGGAGTGGGGGCTGGTGGGTTAGAACAGGGGGGACTGGGAGCCAGGACTCCTGGGTTCTCTCCCCAGCTCTGTGGGGGCTGGTGGGTTAGAGCAGGGGGGCTGGGAGCCAGGACTCCTGGGTTCTCTCCCCAGCTCTGTGGGGGCTGGTGGGTTAGAGCAGGGGGGCTGGGAGCCAGGACTCCTGGGTTCTCTCTCCAGCTCTTTCACTATCTCACCCCCCTGCCCTTAGACCGTTGGCTTCCCTACCTTTCTAGCTAGGGATCCCCAGTGCGCCACCCTCGCCGGAGCCAGGCGGACAAGAGACGTCTGTCCAGCTCGCTTGGCTTGGGTCTGTCTTTTCCTCCTGAGACACCCCACAGGCCTGCTTCTACCTGATCCTTCCCCCCTGCCCCACCCCAGCTCCCCTCTGTCCATGCCCCCCCCACATGCGCTCCCTCTTACCCTGCGCTACCCTGGCATTGTCCGCTGCCCACCGCCCCAGACCAGCGGAGAATTAGGGTCCTGTTTCCCTGTCGCCCCCCCCACCCCCCCGGGCCCAAGGGTAAATCCTCCCGCAGGGGGCTCAGGCCTGTCAGCCCACCAGGATTCAGAAGCCAGGACTTCACCATTAACGCCCCCCTGCCCCAAAACCTTGTCCAGCCTCCCCCCCTATTTCCCCCCCCCCCCCCCCCCCCCGGCTGGGTTAGCATCCCCCAATGGTGCCCCGGGCTCCCAGTCATGCTCTGTGAATTTTCTGGCACCGGGCGATTTCCACTGTAAACAGATCTGGGGCCGGGGCTGTGGGTGGGGGTGGGTGGGGTGACATTGTCCAGGAGGCCTGGTCTGCCCTGCCAGGAACAGGGAGCTAAGTGCCCAAATGAAACAGAGCAGCTGGGAGCCTGATGCAACATCAGCATGGCTGGCTCTGGTGGGGATGGGGAATGAGGCACAGGGCATTTCCCTGGGGGAGGGGGAGCCAGGCCTCCTGGGTTCTCTCCCTGGCTCCGGGAGGGGAGTGGGGTCTGGTGGTGAGAGCAGGGAGGGGGCTGAGCGCCAGGACTCCTGGGTTCTCTCCCTGGCTCCGGGAGGGGAGTGGGGTCTGGTGGTGAGAGCAGGGAGGGGGCTGAGCGCCAGGACTCCTGGGTTCTCTCCCTGGCTCTGGGAGGGGAGTGGAGTCTGGTGGTTAGAGAGGGGAAGGGCGGAGCACCAGGACTTCTGGGTTCGCTCCTGCCCGCTGGGTGGGGTTATGGCTCAGACACAAGGCTAAAGGATGGTTATGCCTTATCTCAGTGTCCAAATGATGCCCCGTCCCATCCACAGTCAAGTTATGCAGGGGAACATTATTGTCGTCGAGGAAGTTGGCAAGGACGGGGCTGGTAACAGGGCCTGGACTGTGACAAGCAGAGCCCTCGGCTCTCGGCCTGGGAGCCAGGACAGGCTCGGGGAGCGAAGCGGGGTCTAGTGGTAAGCGTGTTGCGGGGGAGAGCCAGGACTCCTGGGTTCTCTCCCTGGTTCTGGGAGGGGAGTGGGGGCTAATGGTAAGAGCAGGGGTGGGGCTGGGAGCCAGGACTCCTGGGTTTCTTTGCTGGCTCTGGGCGGGGCTAATCAGCGAATTACACATTCACCATGGTTGCTCTTTGCCCCCTGCTGGAGGCCTGGGGTTTAGAGCCATAAAAATTTCACCGCCTTTCCCATCAGCCCTTGCAGCTCCCTTTATAGCCCTGGGCAAGTGGCCCAGCTGGGAGGGGCGTGGCCAAAGCAGGAAATCCTCATGCAGGCCTGGCTCAGGGACACCCAGCTCCTCAGAGGCAGGTAATTCCTGATCAATGCAGCAGGATCGGCCCCTGCAGCCTGCTCCCAGTGGGGACAGGCCGGAGTCCCTGCCCACCCTCAACCAGCCAGTCCCCTGCCCTGGGGTCGGATAGAAGCCAGTGCCCCCTAGAGGGGAAAGGCCCCTTGTCCCGTTCCAGATCGGGGCCTGCCCCCCCAGAAAGGGGAAAGGCCCTGGCCCCTGTGCTAACTCTCTCTTTGCCTTGCAGACCGGACTCTGTTGACGCAATGGAGGGCCCGTCCGCTGCGGGAGATTCTGCTGCCCCCCCAGCCGACCCCACAGGGGGAGCCCCGGAACCGGGGTGCGATGGGCCAGGAGTTACAGATCCAGCCCCCACGCTCAGCCCCACCTGCCGCTTCTTCCTGGCGGGCAGTTGCCGCTTTCGGGGCCCGCTGCCGGAACCCCCACCCCGGCGCCCCGCCTGCCGCCCCCCAGCCGCCCCCCAAATGCCCCAGCAAGAAGCCCCCCATGAAGACAGCCGGGGACGTCGTCTCCCGCATCCTCTGGGACCGCCAGCTGCCGCCCGGCACGTTCACCGTGGGCCACCTGGATCGCTTCTCTGGCGTGCGGGAAGACGCCTTCACGGCCTTCTCCTGGGAGGACCTGGCCTCGGTTGGGCCGGAGGTGCTGGCCATACCCCAGCACAGGATCCAGTATTTCAAATACCGCGACCGCGTAGTGTGGGACAAAGCCAGCCGGCTGGACGACGTCTTCGGCTCCACTGGGGGTGGCCGGACCATCCTGGAGGTGATGGAGGAAGAGGCCGGGCGCCAACAGGCCGTGGGAATGGGGGATGGTGGCTCAGCTGGGGGATGCTCGCCGGCCGGTGGAGCCGGGGTGCCAGAGGAAGCCGTAGCTCCGGAGAGCGAAGAGGAGGATGAAGATGCCGAAGCTGAGCCAGGAGCCCTGAGCCGCCCCCCAGTGGCCTCGCAGCCCCCACGCCCCACCCATTTTGTGGCCGTGCGCATCACCAGCCCGGAGCTGCGGGGCTCGGTGGCCCGGCTCCAGGAGGCCCTGACCCAGGCCAACCCCGGCTTGGCTGAGTTCTGTGCCCCACTGCCCACCCTCCACCTCACCCTCTGCCTCCTCCGGCTGGACGGTGCTGGCGAGATGCAGGCGGCCGTCACCGCCCTGCGGGAGCTGCAGGCTGAGCACCGGCACCTCCTGCCGCCTACCCCGCTCCTGCGCTTCCGGGGCCTGGGCACCTTCCAGGGCCGGGTGCTGTACGCCGCCCCCGCGCCAGGCCCGGAGCTGGCAGGGCTGGCCCACGCCCTGGAGCAGGGATTTGTCTGCAAGGGGCTGACTGTCTTCCCGCTCCCAGCCCACGATTGCTTCCATCTCACCGTGGCCAAGATCCCGGCGGGTGGGGAGCTGAAGCTGAGCCTGCCCGCAGAGCCCCCCGGGGAGGAGCTGGGGACCCAGGCAGTGGAATCGCTGTGTCTGTGCCAGGTGGGCAGGGGCAGACGGACGGATGGGTTTTACAGCACCCTTGTGGAGCTGGATCTGTACTGAGGGGGTGCCCTACACCCCTCCCCAAATCCAGAGGAGCTGGGGCCCTACTGACCTTTCTATCCACCCCCCCAAATCAAAACTTGAGGGGAGGGCAGCTCTTCTCTCAGGTCCCCTCATCAAGATGAAAGCTGGGAGCTGGACTCCTGGGCTGTCCCCACTGCAGGGAGGGGAATGGGGCCTAGTAGTTATGGGGGCAGGCAGGGCTGAGAGCCGGACTCCTGGGTTCCATGTGCAGCTTTGGGAGGAGAGTGGGACTGAGTGATTATAGCAGGGGTGTAGGGAGCCAGGATTCCTGGGTTCTATCTGCAGCTTTGGGAGGAGCAGGGGATTGAATGATTATAGTGGGGGTGTAGGGAGCCAGGACTCCTGGGTTCTATCTGCAGCTCAGAAAGGAGCAGGGACATCTGGGAGCCAGGATGCCTGGGTTCTAGCCCCAAGCTCTGCTCCCCAATTCACCTTGCCCCCATGCATATAATCCCCTTCCCTGGCATCTCCCCCCCTTTCCTAAACCCCAAGTCATTCACCCAGCCAGCAGCCTCTGAGGAGGGAGGTCCTAGCTGAGATGCAGGGCCCGGCTCATTGTACAACCTGCCTGGGGTGGACCCAGGGAGCTCCTGCCTCTGGTCCTTTGCCAGCTGGCTCGCTCCATGGCAAAGGGTCCCGCAACCCAGGCTCCCACCCAGCTGCTGCAGCTGGAAGACAGGGGGTTGAGCCCCGGTCTGTCCCCCTCACCCCTGTGGGTTTGCACATGTTGCCCCACAACACGGACGTGTCTTTTCAAGCAATTTTCTCTACAATCAACGGCAATTTTCCCAGCTGCTTCCTCCCCTTTATACCCAAATCAGGAACAGCCCGGGTGAACCCATACCAAGGAAACACCCGTTCCCAAGCAGCTCTCTCTGTGCCTCTCTCTAAATTCCAATCACTGTAGCTAGAAACAGTCTTTGGTCAGCGTGTGCAGACGATGAAATTGGCATCTAACCCGTTCCAGCCTCTTGCTACGGATAGGAACGGGCCGATCTGCGGCCTTTGCTGGTGCTAGCAAAGGACTAGACTAACGGCTCTCGCTCAAGCAGGAATTCATTCACAGCAGGGGTAGGGGCTTGTCTTCTACAGTTCAGACTCAATGATGACCAAAGATGCGGAGAGTCCAGCGGGATTCTCCAAACCAGCTTAGCACTATGAAGGTTAAGCAAGCCCGGCCACTTTATGCCACATTAGGCACCTGTCTGCATCTTTCAGCATCTAAAATCCCTTTGGAAATCTGGCCAGGAGCGATTTGCCCAAGGTCACAGGCACTAGGGAAAACGCCGGCATCCCAATTCCCACATGGGAGCCCCTGATCCAGTCTCAAGAAAATAAAAAGAGGACAGTGGCCCAAAGCATTTCTTCCTACGTTTGTCGTTTTTATTAATTTTCAATTTCGAGAAAAATACTCCTCAAAAAAGGAAGAGAGTTTCTGGAAAGAAAAAAAAGAGCATTTGAAATCCAGCTATTCATGCTGTCAAGTGCACATCAGAAAGTTACATATGTCCAACAAAAAGAAAGGAAGGGGGAAGGCTTGGAAGGAGAATGAGATGCTAAAGACTATAGAAAGAAAGGGGAAAAAAAAAAGAAAAAAAGACAATTAGACTGTGGATGGGGAAAGGGGAGGGAATGGATCATTACCAAGTTACCTGTAAAGAAACTGAGGAAATGGGGGGGAAAATAATAAATAAAGATCAACTAAACTGAGCATAGACAAAAAAACTCCAGGACACAGAAACGGTGAAACTTAGACGTGACTGGAAGATTTGCTGGCAACTGGTTGAATCCATTAGCGGAGGGACGACCAATTCCCGGCAGCTGTGTGGTCTGCATCACCCCAATTCCACTCTCTCTCTACGTCAGGTCCCCCCGATTCTTACAATGTCTCTAAGCAACAGTCTCTGAGGCGGGGGGTTAGGCGATCAGGGCTCGATCTTTCGGCTTTCATTCTCCTCCACTGTGCTTTCGGCTCTTTCTTTGTTTTCTCTTTTTGCCCAGGTGCGCCTTTTTTTGGTTTGGCTTTCTTTCGAAGGCTGGCCAAAAAGCTCAAAAGCAGGGGTGAGAGAGAGAGAGAAAACTGAGACAACGTTAGTTTCAGATCAAGATGGAAATATACACAACATCCAACAAAGGATTTACTCTTTAAAAAAAAAACAAAAAAACCCCAACAATGTCAACAAAAGAAAAATCACAACCCGACCTGCTAAAGTTTATCATTAAAAAAAGTAGAAAAGATACTTTACAAAATACAATGGATTTCTCTCCTTATTTACATCATAGAAGGGTGGGGTTCTGTACAGCACATCCTGGAGAAATATACACAGAGAAATCACATTTCCAAGAAGAGATTAGCATTGCACAGAGGAAATGGTTTCCTTGGCTTTTAAAGTGCCAGGAGGATCTAGACAGTTCTGGAAAAGACTTCCAGACCGGCCGGCTCTAGACGTTTGCTTCCTGTGGCTAGGGTCGTTTAACTAGGCAGCCCAGCTAAGCTCTGGGTTTTTCTTTCCTTCCGGAGTTCACTTCCGATTGCTCCGGGCGGGAGGAAAGGAAAGTGTGTTGCGTTTTGTAGTTGATTTCTCCCGACACAATTTGCACAGATCGGCAGGGGTAGGGGCGGTTCTTCGAACACGGGCATGTGCGCGCCGAGCCGAAGACTGAGGTGGCACGGGCTGGCATTCACACTAGGTGAGGGCATTTTGCTGTGGAGGACAGGCTGCGTTCCCTGACCCTCCCCACCCCAGCGCCCCTGGAGAATGATCCGCTGGCAAGAGACTAAAGAAAAGCGTTAACATCGCGGGGCCCCTGCCCGGCACGCCATGGAGGAGCTGTCCAGCGGCCGGCCGTCTTACCCTCTTCCGTCTGCGGAGGTGCGTGGAGGCAAGGGGGAATGCCCCGGTGGCTGGCCTGTGGCACACACCAAGCCGCCATTACCCTTTGGTTGCGATTAGAGGGGGGCTTTGGAGGAGTGGGGGGTAGGTTAGAAGTTGGCCAGGACTGCTAAGCTCTGCCTGCAGTCAATCTTGGTTGCGTCGGTGCCTGTGTACACCAGGGACAGAGCGGCTAGGAAGAGCTGGCACTCCTCCGCAGCCTCGAAGGCCAGCTCGGACTGAACGTAGGAGACGGGGAGCACCGGGCGGAAACTGAAGGAAACAAAACGAAACAAATAAACAAAACCCACCAAGGAACGGGGGGAAAACGCAGCAGGAGGCAGGTTAGGACAAGCACAGACTGAACCGCCACCTAACGGATCTAGCCAGTACACCCCTCCACCTCAGAGCTGCCCCCCACAATGCCCTGCCTCCCAGGCCTGACCCCAAGCGACCTACCCCACTAGATCTGCCCCCCCGCAACACCCTGCCCCATTAGATCGGACCCCACACCGCCATTCCCCCCGGACCTGACTCCCGAACAGCCTGCACACACACTCCTCCCTCCGCAGCTCTGATCCCCCCAAGCCCTTCCCCGACCTGACTCCCAGGCAGCACCCCCGCAACGAAGATCAAACCCACACGGGTAGCTGCCTGCCCCAAACCACTAGCTCCCACCCATCCCTGCAGTCAGTTCAGTAGCCTGCACCCTGACAGCAACTATCCACATCCCAGGTCAAGCGGTGGGTAGCAGACACACCCTCCCCCTGCACCCATGCTCTTCGGGGGATGCACCCCACGCCTGTAAGGGGCAGCGCGAGGTCCCTTCTTTCAAGAGCAGGGAAGGCAGCTGCCATGGGGCCGATCTGATTGCTAGAATCTCCCTGTGTGGCCACTTAGGCCACTCCCAACCCTCCTCCCTCTCTAGCTTTGCCCTTGTCCCCCCCCGCAACAGCCTGGCCCCCCGCCTCCACCACTTTAGGCAGCAGCCTGGCCCCGGTGAATCTCAGCTGGAGAGGGAGGGCAGCCGATCCCAGCTGAGCCTCCCTCGCTCCCCGAGGGAAACCCCAGCGCTTTCCCAATCAGAACGGAGAAGGTTTCAGGAGATCCGACCTCCAGAAAAAAGTGCCCCCGTCCAGCACCACGGCGCCACCCTGATCCCGACCTGGGTGCTACTACTGTCAACGTAACGGGAACCCCTCCCCACCAGTCCTGTCTGGGGGCGACGGCACTAGGACACCTGGATCTGCCACCGCTTGGCAAGGTGCGAACCTGGATCTCCCATGAATTAAGCCCCCCACACCCTGAAGATTCGCTGCCGGGCTACAATCCCCTGCCTCAGCCCAAGCCAGGCCGGTCCCAGCTCCCTGCTTCGACCCAAGGGCTACACAGCATCTGGACACGGAGCAGAGACGAGTCCCTGACTACTGGCTGCGTTCTACTTACCTACCGGAGGGAGACGGCTACTCGGAACCAGAGGAGCTGGTTAAGATCATGGACGACCCCCCCTCTCCCACCGACCTAGGTCACCCCCCTACCAGCGTGGGATCCTTCCTAACCCTGGCCCTAGTTGGCCAATCGGACACAGCCGTACAGCGAGCCGGGAGACGACCGGAGGAGAGGTGACTGGATGCACCCACATGTCTACCCCAATTCGGACGGGAGGCGCCAGGCGCCTCCGGAGGACAGCGCTCAGCCAGCGAGGGGGCACCACAGCCCAGCCGCCAGGCAGGGGGTGGGGTTAGCGGGCGGGGCGTCCTCCCGACCCGACATACGTTTTGATCATGGCTTTGAGCGCCGCCTTCCTCTCCCGCTCGGCGAACTTGTCGATGAGGTAGCCGGACATGCAGGGCGCCTGGCGGTAAAGCCTGAAGAAGCGGTGGTAGTTGGACAGGGCCCAAGCGGCGCGCAGGGCCAGGGCATGGGCCACGCAGGAGTCCGCCTTCAGCTCCTTGGTCAGGTAGGCCAGCTCCGTGGTGATGTCTGCAGGGGAGGGGAGGCAGGCGGTTATTGCGGCTGGCCACAGGCCCGTTCCCAGCCCTGGGGGCACTGCCGAGCAGGTGCGGTCTCCTGGTACTGGCTGGGAGGCTCTCCATCTCGGATGGCCATTTTCATTGGCTCTTTGGGTGTCCCTGTGGGCTCTATGGCTCAGAATCCCTGGGGAGTCCTCCAAGGCTCACCATAGAGTGGCAGACTGGAGCAGGGTGATGGACAGAGTGGCACTTACACAGGCAGGCACTCTGGGGCCAAGGGGGGGGGACCCCACCCGAAGGCTGGGCAGCCCTGCTCTGCGGCCAAGGGCTGAGCTGTGGGGGGATGACACCACTCTAGGGAAGGGTCTCTATGGTTAGGGAATGTGGGGCCAGCAGCCAAGGAGGACTTATGCCAAGGTGGCGGCTCTGAATATTTACACTGCGTGAGCCTCCCCATCCCGTCCCCGGCCAGGGCCTGCCCAGCTCGCTCACCTCCGGAGTTCTTGGTGAAGATGTAATAGAGGATGCGGTAGGCGGTGAACTCCCCCACGTTGCCCGGCAGGTTCTCTGCATAGAGAGACTTGAGCTGGGTCTGGCACTGGTTGAATTCCTCATGATCTCCCTGGGGAGAGACGGGAATTCCTGTTACCGGGCCAGAGCCCGACTCACCCAAGGCGCATTGACAACGGACTGGGGAGAGAACCCAGGAGTCCTGGCTCCCAGCCCCCCACTGCTCTAACCACTAGGCCCCACTTCTCTCCCGAAGTCAGGGATAGAACCCAGGAGTCCAACTGGATGCTCAAGCCCACTTGCCCTTTTTTGCCCCCCTTACACCTGGCCCATTCCACGTTGCCCTCAACACTCTGGTTTTATCTCAGCGGACAGACATCCCGCCCCTGCCTCCTGACACCTACCCCCAACGACAGAGCAAGCGTGCAGGCGACAACCCAGACCCCCCCCCCCTCACCTTCTCCAGCGCTATCCGGGCATGGGTTTCGTACACCTCCACCGTGAACTCCGTGCGGATGCCCTGAACCTGCATGGAGCAGGGGAGAGGGGTTACTCCAGACACAAGCAGGGATCCCCATGGGACGCTCTACAGCCTGCATTACCCAGGTCGGATTCGAACACAACCCCCTCCCCCAGTGATGACCGGCCTGCCACCAGACCGTCCCATGGAGCCGCTTCTCCTGTACTGAGAGTGGCAGAGGTCGGGAGCCTCCGCAAGGGAATCTCTGGGGCTCCCAGTAACCCGGCCGACGGAGCGGCTGCCACCTTAAGAGCTCTGACTAGCTGCTCCCCCCAGGGGTGCCAACAGGGCAAGCCAGCGAGGTGGGCAGCTCCAGAGAGCGAGGAGAAGTTAACCCCACGGCCCAGGAGTCAGCGCTGGTGGATCCAAGGGCCGGGAGGAAGAGTTTGTGTACACAGAATATAGTGATACAGCAATGCACAAAGCCTCCTGTCTAGGAAGGGAGAATTCCTCCCCCGACTCAAGACAGGAAGTTGCTTGTAGCT